TCATATGCGCTCGGCCATACTAAGCTCTGTATCTCGACCAACTGGGCTCGCTTATAGGCGCTCGGCCACAGTAGGCTCGGTATATAACTTGCCATCTGATCAGAGGTTGCCCAATAGGGGCCTGCCCATCGATTATAGCTCGATGGTAATGAAAATATTTTAATACTGTATATATAAATATATATACTCTTTGCTCTCTTGGCTGAAAGAAGACAAGACTAAACTAAATATGAAGTCCTGATAAGGGAGGATGCTATAACTTATGAGTCTAGAAAAATGTACATAAATTCAGGAATATGAACTTCTCTTCATGTCTCGTTATCAAACACATGTAGTTACTGGATCATGACAAAATAAAAGAAAGGTTTAGCCTTAACATACCTGTTCCTGAAATTATTTGAACGAATCTACTTCTGCGAATTTTATACTGGATTTTCTTGAAATTGCAACAAACTTGTTCTGCTTGAACGTTTGTGAACTAGAGAATGGATTTAAACTTTAAGCTTGATCCAACGTTGTTTTTTTGAAGCTTCTGTTTCCAAGTTTTTGATTTTAAATCAAAGAGTGAATTGAAGCTTGGTTGAAGCTTCTGATTCTCGTTTTTCTTCTTTCAGAAAGGATCCAATGGAAATTAAATGTTATATCAAGTTCAAGAGTTATCTTAAGTCAATCAAGCCTTTCTATTAAAATGACTCATTCTAATGAGTCATTTAGTAACTTTACACGTTACTTTGTCATGCAACACATATGACTATGAGTCATATGGTGGCACACTGCCACGTGGGGAGTTTGGGTAGGTTATTTTATTAATTTTTTATCCACTTATTAGCTAACCGGGTAATGTTCCGTTACCCGGTAATTAATCAATTTCCCGCATAGCTTAAAAAATATTATCACAATTTACTTAAAATTCTATTTATTTTCAAAATACTTCATATATACTTTATATATTATACTACCATGGTCATATGGTACCTTGCATGGTACTAGTTCATAATTATCGGGTATTGTCGCTCGAACAGTATTTTATTCCAAATTGGCTGCTTTCAACGAAACTCGTTTTTCTTAATCCGTGTACCCCCTTATCCTTCATAACACTTATTTATCGCTTGTTATAAATAGCGTAAGTACGTTAACGTCAAGATGATCTCATCCCCGAGTCTACGTCAATTAACCAAAGACGAAACTTTTAACGTACGAAAACGCGAGATGTAACATGTTCAATTATGCAAAAATCCTTCCCCCTTTTGGCATCATAAAAAGCACAAACCAAGTAAAGAGCATAAAGAAGTCTAGCATGGTTAACTCAAGCCACTTGTTTGCACACAACGTGATAGAAAACAGAGACAAAAGAGCAATAACGCAAACAACAAAAGGGAAAGACTTGCATGAACTAAATTTGAACTTTTACAGGCAGGAGCAGAATCATTCTTACCATCCACAATTCCAAAACAAAACAAAACAAGTACCAGAAACAGAACATCACCAAAACATACTTAAAAGATAGACGGTGGAAACTAGACACCGAGGGGACATGTTTTAAGGGACACTGGAGGAATGACATCAATTGGATCTGCAGCCGGGACTCCATCGAGATCGACGAGGGGCACATCGTTTTCGAGTAATACGTTATTGTTTTCGCCATGGTGGCCGAAATCATAGTCAACGTGTAGGGGTGCTGATTGAGAGTTCGACATTTTGATTATAGAATCAAAAACACTCCAAAGAACAAATGTAAAGTAGTGTGTGTTATGGAAATTTGTATCAAATAACCACTATTATCATTATCCCCACGGTGGGCGCCAAATTGTTTACCCTTAAAATCAGATAATAACTGAATTTATACGCGGTTTTAAGGATACGTAATATAACTTGATACAAATTGAGAAATCACATTAATATTGAAATTAATGATAGAAAAGTAAATGCAAACCACACAAGTTGAACAATCATGGCCTTGAAGGTTGGTCAACCTCGAGTCAAAAATGCCTTAATCGATATCGAAATAGAATGATGAGATAATAAGAACTAGTAATAACAGTATATAGATTTGAGATGCGTGTTACAATGTGTCCAATGAATTATCAAACCCCCTTATATAGTAGAGGAGTCCTACTCTAGGTACATTTCTATAAAAGGTAAAAGTCTCTTGATTTGCTAATTGCCGGTTCCTTGCTGATATGCGCCAAGATTCCTGCTATAATATCTGCCTGGTCGCAGATATTTTGGTCTTCCGTTTGTTATTTCTGAGCTTGCTCCAGTCTAATGTCGATACCTGACTCAACGTTCCTCGAAGGCAAGTCTTATGAACTCAGGTTCCAGCTCGGTGAGACTCGAGGTCAATCTCGAGTGTGGTCGCCACGTTCTAAGCTAAATCTACCAAGTTGTAGTCGAGCTCGACTTTGACCGTATACAGTGTTCTTTTTCACGCTGACTAACAAGGAAATAATATCAAATAAACTGGAATGGAAGGAATAATTAACATCTTTAATAACCATCCACATTATCCATTAAAAATGGGTTGAAAACTTTTCAAAAATAGATCAAATATGGATAGGATCCATATTATCCACTTAAAAATTGGATAACCAATGGGTTTAACTTTTATATTTGCAGTGACTCAAATTGTGGATTACTCAAGTTTGAGAGACTAGGAATTTTCCCAAAAGATTCATATTCAAGATGCCATGGATAATACAGATATCCATATTATCCACTGCTTAACCCATTTATTATCTGTATCAAATACGAGTCGGGTCAGATATATCATTTGTTTGCATTACTCATTTTTATCTCGCGAATATCTGAACCGAGTCGTCGATTTGCTACCTTTAATAGGTAAGTCTTTTTATTCTGCTGCATCTATGCTAAGGGTGGCAAGTGGGCCGGTCTGGGACGGGACCGGGACCGCAAGCCAAACGGGCTAAGTGGGCTAAGTGGGCCGGGATCGGTAGGACCGCTAGAGGTGGGCTTGGGCCGGTTCTTGGCTTTGAACCGGTAGGACCGGCACCGTTTGGCCCGCCAAGGGACCGGATCGGGACCGGACTGGTCCCTTGGTGGGCCAAACGTGCCCAACGATAATTCTTTTTTAAAAAAAAGTAGCCGTTTGGCTATTTTAAAAAAGAGCCGTTGGGCTTTAAAAAATAGCCGTTCGCTATTTTAACTCCAAATTTCCAACCTATAACCTACTTTGTTTTTTCCAAAACTTCTGCCGCCAACGTTAAAGGTGTTTTGCCGCCTTTTGTTTTATTTTCTCCTAATATGCTTTTAACTCAATTCTAATTAGCTGTGCTCCTTTGTTTTGTCTTCTTCTATTTCGCTCATTTGTTCTGCTTTCTTAAGGTGTTTTGCCTTCTTCTATTTTGTTTTTTAAAATTATTTTTATACATAATTTTTAATAAGTTTAATATTTAAACACTTTAGGATATTTTAGTCAACTTATCAGTTACTACAGTCTGATACAGTCAAACCAAACAGAAAAATATTATTTAACAATAACAAACAATACAATCTATCCAAACATTGTATTCATAAAACGATACGACACAATACAATACAACAAATTATAAAACGACGAGGAACAATGATCCAAACATTATTTAACATTAACAAACAGTACAATCTATCCAAACATTGTATTCATAAAACGATACGACACAATACAATACAACAAATTATAAAACGACGAGGAACAATGATCCAAACAGAGTGTTAGCCATGACAGGTTCAACTATAAAAACTTTTCATTTGATTCAGTACAACTGTTAATCAAATTGCAACAAATTTCATATGGGCGCGGTTGAGGCTTTTAGTATACGATAGAAAGATTCATACTAGAGGCGGATCTAGGATTTTTACTACATGAGTGCACTACAAAAAAAGAGGATAAAATGTATTAAATGGGAATTGATCCCTATTGATCTTGGTAAATAATTCAACTACCAAGTGCACCATTTAGCTTTCCTGAAATATGGGTGCCAACGGTAAATATTATACTCCCTCCGTTTACTCTTACTTGGCATGTTTTGATTTTTCACGTCCCTTAAGAAATAATGATTGACATGATAATTTTACCACAATAACCCTATTAATTGATACTCAATAATTGAACCCAAATTCCCACACGTATTTATAAGAGCCACTATGAAGTTCCAAGTACATTTAATTTTTATAGATATCAATATTTTACACATCCATCTGACCATCTCTTTAGTTAAAAAGCTTGAATTTTTTTTCTTGAGCCAAACGATTGAGTAAATTTAGGAGACAAACCGTTCAGAAAATACTTCACCCAATTTTTTGGAGGCAAACATTATTTTAATTTGGAGTATATAAAATTAAAATTTTCCCACTAAAACATTACTCTATAAATCATGCTTCACTGTAATGAGAGTTCAAACAATAATAGATGCAAGATACAATCATCAAATCTCATTGGACCAAATAGATCTAAATATTCCTGTTGAGCCTGATAATTCTTATGGTGTTGCACAATATATACCTGATCTTGATATTTGTGGGAATTTCATCGGTTTCCTTAAAAATATTCACTTTTTCGTCCATTTCTTAAAGGAGATGTGCACAGATTTTTTTGGACTAACTAGAGAGTTTAAAAAAAAACTTCCGAAGAAAAAAATACTCCAAAGAACAAGAGAATAAAAGATAACTTTAGTGGACTTTTGTGTTTAACGAAGGGGGATAATGAAGAGTTCTCTGTTAATTCCAATATTGAGCATTGGAAAGCTACAATTGACCATTATTTATTCAAGAAATATTGGTTAATGAATTAAGGTAAAACAGGAAAAAATTAGTCTTTTCTTGATATGCGTAAAGTGACAAGTAAAAATGAAAAACTATTTCTAGTATACCTGCCAAGTAAAAGTGAACGAAGGAAGTACAATTTTTAAAAATATATATATAAAATATCTAATTTTGCGGAGAAATCTTGGGTTCACGTGCCTCATAATCTCCCCTGTAATCCGCCCTTGATTCACACAGAATCAGCATAGAGGCATGTCTAAGGGACGTGGCAACAACTTTTTGTCAGGGCAATCGCCTTCTCTCACAATGAATACAGTCTTCATGCCCCATGTTAAATGACGCTCAAAATGGCAGTGCAAAAACCAAACTCCTGGAACATTGGAAGATCAAGAATAAGCAAAGAAGAAAAATAATGTTCAATTATTGCAAAAGAAATACTCCCCTGTGCTTCCATTTTATGTGATGGAGCTCCAAATTCCAGGGTCAAACTATTTACTTTTCATGCGATTCAGGTATATAGAATATTCAAGTTTGTTAAAATAAAAGTTACATACTTAGAAACTATATAAAAAATACCATAAATGACAGTACTTAAAGGGCAGCCGGGTGCACTAAGATTCAACCATGCGCCGGGTATGGGAAAAGGTTATACAAGCACAATGGTCTATTGTACACAACATTTCTGCAAGAGGCTGCTTCCACGGCTCGAATCCGTAACCTCCTGATCTCATGGCAACAACTTTACCAGTTAAGCTAAGGCTCCCTTCATTAGTAACGATACTTAATAATCCAAAAATGTATAGCGTGGAATAGATGGAGTACTTGATAAATAAAGTTAGCAAATAAATGAGCTTCCAATTGTACTAGTAAAAAAAAAGGAATTAGACTTACCAGGATTGTCTGCTTTGAATCTAATGGCAGCCCAACCCCTTTTAGGGACTGCAACAGTGTTCTGGAGAGGAGGATCGACAAGATTATAGTTCAGAGGATCCAACCTCTCGTCGAAATTTCCAAGTCCCAATCCAACAGTGTAGAAATTAAATCCATGTAGATGCATTGGATGATCTATGCCAGCAACCAGGTTAGTCCCCTGAAAAACAAGCTCAACTGTGGTATTATACTTCAGCATTACTACGTGTGTCCCGCTTTTTGGTATTTCCAATTTCAAAGGCAGGACATCTGCAGTATAATTGAATACGTATGGCGGAAACTTTGGAAATTTGTCCCCGAATAACACACCCTTTATATGATAATAGTATGCTTCTAGGATATCAATGGACGGGTTGACAAAACTTATGTTGTTCATACTCGCTGCTAGTCTCGTTCCATTAGGTCCTTGGCACGTAGAATTTGTGCTGTTTATAGGACAAGGGTATGCATTTACTGAAACTGTTGATATCAATCTATCTTTCACTTCAATTGGTACAGATACCGGGTGGTCTTTTGAAGCCAAGCTTCTAAGACTAGCACTAAAATCTACAGCTGCAAGAGTATCATTGTAACAAGGTAAATAAGGCAATGGAGGAGGAGGAGAATATTCGTCGTAGTTTCCTTTGTATTCCACAATGGCTGTGGTGGTTGTGTTGTCAAAATTGACATTAACCCCACTGGAATAAGCTCTAGCAGCCATGTAATAACGGCCAGGCTTCTGGTTAGCCTCCAATATGCAATCAAATGTTTGTCCAGGGGTTATTGTGATAAAATCCCTTGTCAAAGGCTTAGTGTAGCTTCCATCTGTTCCTACTACTGTGAGTTTATGCTCTGCTATTCCAAAGAAAAGTATTTCATTCATTGCGGCGTTTATGATCCGTAGCAGATATGTCTTCCCACACTCTACCTCTAGCTTGAATGTCTCTGCCCATACAGTTAATAGGAAAGTTAAAAATTACAAACTCATCTTTGCCTTTTGTTTTCTGATGGAGTTACAATTCACTTACCATGCTTTGAGCAAGGGTAAAAATCTCCAGGCTGACCATTTATTGTATAAGCATCAGAATCAATTGGTTGACCTCCTGAGGTGATAAATTGCTCATATACCAACATAATGTTTTCTTTCCACCATTCCCCTAAGAATCAAATCAAGAAGACAATAGTTTTTAGAGGCTTGATCATAAGACTTCAAAAAAAAAAAAAAAGGCAGCCCAGTGCACAAAGCATCCTGCATTCATACAGGATCCGGGAAAGTGTCGCATTCCTAGGGGTGTGATGTAGACAATCTATACCAATATAATCATTAGTGGGTGCTTCCAAGCTCGAACCAGTAACCTATAGGTCACACGGAAACAACTTTATCGTTGCTCCAACGCTCCCCTTCAAAAGAGGGATGCAACACGAGGACTTCACAAGGGATCACCCATCCTAGTACTACTCTCGCCTAAGCGCGCTTAATTTCGGAGTTCTGATGGGATCCGGTGCGTTACTGCTAGAATGATCACATCCAATCATAAGAGTTCATTGCGTTTAAATTAAACCGGGTACAAGATCGATTAAAATTGTAAATTGTACCTAAGACAAGGGTTAGTTCGGCAGCAGGTATGGGGAAAGGATAGCTAGTACCAAGTTTGGGATAAACAACAATGGCACCATGAACCGTGGCTCGATCCCATTCTCTGTGTGCATGCCACCATAAGGTGCCCTCCTCATCCGAAAAGATCAACATTTGCCTGAATTTTGAACCTGGGGGGATCGGACATTGGGTTATGTATTCTGGCCCATCTGACCATGGATTCCTGGGTTGTTTTACTCCATGCCTGCATTTTATTACGTAAAAAATTATTCGAATTTAAATTCCAAAGAACTAATTAAGTCCCAGCAAAAGAAATATACTAGATGATTTCTTCCCATCTGTCCAAGCGTTAGTGGACAAACTTATCCAGTATCTGCGCTGGTGAGAGGTAGCAAGTTCCTTGTAGCACTAGTCAAGGTGCATACAAGCTGGTCCAGAAACTATACAACAACAACAACGACGACCCAGTACAATCGCACAAGTGGGGTCTGGGAAGGGTAAGCCAATACTATTAGTAATATCAATACCACCAACCGAGATCATATGAATAATAACATCATAAAGATCAAAAAATAGATGAAACGCAAACGCGATAGCCAGTAAAAAGGTCCGACACTATGATCCAGACACTATAGTTTTAAGAAAAATCATATACTGTATAGTATTAGTCATACCAGTGAATGGTTATGTTGGATTTCCCTTTGTTGTAGACATCCACAATAATAGTTTCTCCTTTCCGAGCATAAATAGTGGGTCCTGGAAATTGTCCATTCACAGTTAAGATGCTCTTTGATTCGCAGAGCCTTTGATATGAAGTTTCTTTCACCTGCCATGCAACGTTAGCCAGATAAAGGAAGCTAGTATTAAGAAAATACTCACATTTCACTTTCGTAGGCGCAGTTAGTTTGTGTGTGCGCGTGCCTAGAGGCGGATTCAGGAGTTTATGGGTTCCTATAGAAATCTCAAGTTAATATACAATAATAACTGGATTAACGGACTGGGTTTCAAGCTAAATATTCTTATATTATTTAATAAATTTTTCAATACAAATACAAAATCTAGGCAAAAGTTACTGGGTTCACAGGAACCCGTAACAAATGCACTGGATCCGCCCCTGTGCGCGCATAAGTCATCTCTTACATATAGCAGTAAAACGACTCTGTTACTATGAAAAATCTTAACATAAACAAGAATAGGGAGAAGAAATGGTGAAATCTACTCACGATAAATTTATGTTGTTGAATGAAAGCTCGAGTATGTTGGAAAATAGTAAACATGAATGCTAGAAGACATGCTCTTAGAACTGTTCTTCCAACCCATAAGTTGACAATAACCTTCATCTTTTCGCGAAATATTTAAGATGATTTACTACGCGTTATCTCTTGTTGAGATATAATTTATAGAATGGAAAGAGTAAAAGGATAATCTGCACCCTTCAAGCTAAGATTAGATGCTGTATTAGTTGCATACGAAAATGATTAAGAGATTGGGAATTTGACTTTCTCATTAAAAGAAAGTAGGCATCTTGTTAAACATTGCAGATTAATTTAGTTAACGATATACTTTAGGCATATCTTAAAATTAAAGTTGACTTTAACTTCAAATGCACTATTTGAGTTTTTCTGATTATGGCTTCCTGAATTGAAATGAAAATGCTCCTTGAATTGTGGACATCTTTTCTTGGTTCCGCCATTTTTTTTTCTTGTTCTGCAACTACTTCTATGTGCATTTGCTTCATTGCTACACGAGTATTTATTATCTCATTTTCCTACTTTATTTTGCAATGCCAACAATCCTTTTTGGGCAATGTATGAGTGCATTTGAAGGAAGCAGGGTAGGCTAGAGCTTTCCTAGCTCTATATTATTTAAGTTTTGCATCTTGATCTTTATCTTGGTTGAAAGAGGGTTAAACTTGTGTATACTGACGATATAAAAAAACTTCTATTTGTTAAATTATTTAAAAGATAAATTATACATAATTACTCGAAATAAGTGGAATCACTACCCTGAAAAATAAGTAAGACGCAACCTGTTATAATAAATTATATTACACCATAATGTAAAAACCCTTTTCACAAATCTTGATTGAAAATTTGTTACCGGAAAATGTCTTATTTCATAGTCATTTTCAATTGCGTACCTTGAATCATGAAAAATATTTTTTCAACATGAAATGAATTTCTATCAATCAAAACGACAAAAATGACTTCTTCTCTTTTTGGTACAAGTCTCCTTTATAAATATCTAAAAGTCGCTCCATATCACTTGTAATTCAACTAATATTAAATATTGTTGCGGAATTTTAAACTCAATATATCTGTAAAACACTATTTATATAGTCAATTACACAATTTCATACAAATGAGATTTAACTCCACAATTCCAGATAAATGAGATTGTTCAATATGTTAGATATTTTTGTACTTATCGCATGAAAATTACACGATAAGAGGAACAAATGTCAACTCTAGAAGCCATCCACATGTGCGAACGAGGATGGTCAACATCCAGAGTTGGATTGAAGAACACAGTTAGTTGCCTTAGAAAGTCCATATCTAGTATGGGTCCATCCCTAATTGAATGGGTTCCTCCCAAGCATCTAAGGGGTCATTTGGTAGAGTGTATAAGAATAGTGCGGAATAAGATGTATTAGTAATGCAGAGATTAATAATGCATGAGTTAGTAATGTAAGCATTAATTATGCAGATATTATATCTTATCTACTGTTTGGTGTGGTGTATTAAAAATTATAATGCATTGCATAATTTTTAAGAAAAATAGTTATTTATAAAAATGCATTCCATATTCTCTAGCTTTACGGGACTTTAAGGATAATTTTATCTTTAACCATACTAATGCATGCATTAAGAGCCTTGGTATTACTAATGTCATGGTTTTCTATGCATTACTTATACATAGGATAATACCAAGTATGATGTATAACTAATACAAGTACTAGTTATACACAGGTCGAAAAAAATGTACCAAACAAGGTATTAATAATGCACATGCTTGCATTAGCTTTGCTAATACCTCCTACCAAACGACCCCTAAGAGTAATGGAAGTCTAGGCACTTCAAGAACTCCACAATTAGTGCCCAATTCGCATGTATTCAAAGCGCATGTTCAAAAAAATTGGATGTTTGCGTTATTGTTGTATAATTATAATCAGTATTTTTAATTAAGATTTGGATGAGCAACAAATATCAAATCTATTTACAACAATTTGGGTCATTTGTTCACTAGGTTTGGAGCATATAATGTGAGTGAAACGAAAATTTTGGATGATAACATTTCGTAAATTATTATCCAATATTTATATAATGGAGGAGTAAGGTGTTTTTTGCAGGGGCGGATGCATGTACGCCGAAGCGGTGTCACGTGACACCGCTACGTCAAAAACTTCTACTAAAACCAATGACTTCACTTAACGATTGAATTGTGTGGTCTGCTGGATAACATTGTTGGTTTATCGGTAAAGGTCGCGGGATCTAACCTGCCTAGCCGCAGTTTTTTGCCTGAACAACTAGGATGGACGAAGCACACATTAATAACAATCTGAGTGATAAATAAATTCTATTGCAACAGAATTACTAATCCTAGATTTTGTAAAAGACTGCGTAATTCTATTTCTATCGGAAAAAAAATCATGTTCTTTTGTTTTTTTTCTTCAACATAGATGAAGAATAAAAAGATAAAATATTTACGCTTATGGTGAAGTTTTCTTTTAATAATTACTATCGCTAATTAGTGGCTTTCTGATTCAATATTCATTTTAATTTTTAAATGTGACACCGCTTATGAAAAATTCTGCATACGCCACTGATTTTTTATATATGGAAGACTTCAAATCACGACGAATATGAAAGACTTTGGTGTTGCAATTAGTGATGGTGCTACGTGCTCACAAGCCCCAGATTCATGATGCAGGTTGGCAACCAGATGTGATTCTGCTCCTCCATTTACGTGAAGTAAAGAGTCATGCACCGTGTTTGCTTGTAGTGACCATATAAATGCCAAGCTAGCAGTGGACACTCCTTTATCTGATGATGCTTATAGATATGTAATTTTTTACCCTCCCCGAGATTTTACACATTTTATCATTTAAATATTTAGTTTAGGTCTCATATCGCTATTTTAACTAGTTTTGACTCTTTTACTTTATTTTATCACAAAAATAAAAATTACAAAAATATTTTCTTTTATTTAGCTAATTGACATTTTATCTAGTTACTTTTAGTTTATCTACGATTACATAAAGAAATACAAAACTAGTAGTGAGAGAAACTCCAACTTCTCTCTAGCTACCACAATACTTTCACAATGAAAACCCTTAATCAAAATAATCAAATCCCTCCCAAACCACCGGATATTGATACAACACAACCTACCATAATGCCTGAACCTCCTAACACAAGTTTCAAACAAAAACTTTTGGATCGAATACATGAAGATCAAATTCATAGGATTATTGATCCAACTCTTGATGGGATCCAAGAGTTCCACAATGAAACTAATACTACCCATGCAAACAACCCTACGGATGATCAAGGACAAGAGATCCATCTATCCCCGGAAGATCTTAAAAGAATCTACCACCCATGGAGATTCTCTACCATAATCAAGCTTCAAGGAAAAAAGACTCAACACCACATTCTTAAAAGAAAAATTCAAGAATTGTGGAAAATTAAAGAGAATTTTCCTCTGATCGATTTAGGATCGGAATTCTACATTACCAAGTTTAATAATGAGGATAGTATGCTAAAAGCTCCCCAAAATGGCCCTTGGTTTATTTTTGGTCATTTTCTTTCAGTCCAAAAATGGGTTCCAAACTTCATTGCTTCAGAAGCTAAAATTGCAAACACAACTATCTGGATCCGTCTTCCTCAATTACCCACTGAGTTCTATGATGGCCTCATCTTAACAAAAGTTGGTAACAAAATCGGTAGGTTACTTAAAATTGATGCTTGCACATCATCCACACTTAGAGGAAGGTTTGCTAGGATTTGTATTGAAATCCATCTTGATGTACCTGTTCCCCCCTATGTCTTCATTGGACAACATAAACAAGAAATCCATTATGAAGGTGCAAATTTTTTATGCAAAAAATGTGGCAGACTAGGCCACTCAATGGCCAATTGTCTCTACACATTTCCTAAATGCTCCACTACAGCTACCTAGAAACCCCAGCCAACAGCCAATCCAGCAAATTGGGTGATCCTCAAGACAAAATGGAAAGTTCTACTGTCCAGACAAAAGATAGTAATTGGCAAACGGTTATGTTTCCCAAGAAGAAAAAATCCAATCAAAATCAAAAGGTGATGCCTCACACTTCTGGTAAGCTGCAACACCCAATCACCCTCCCTCCAGGTATGTCTCAATCTCTCTTATTAAATGAAACTACTACAGGAAAATCTATTGATAATGGCAATGCCATTACTCCTACACAGCCTAAAACCAATGGAAAAAATCAAACCACTAAAAAATACATTGCAACGGGCAATATGTTTGAAGCATTGGTTCCTCCGCCCAAGTTGATTAATTTTAATTTTAATAAATATTAATAATAATTCTATTAATACTAATACTAGCTGCATGGCTAGTGATGTGGAAGGAGTCCACGAAATGGACGTCCAAATGGCACCCACTGCAAAGGTCCAATTAGAATAAATGCAAAATAATCATTCCCTACCTAAGGGTAATGAGGACCTAAATTACCCCATCAGGAGCCTAAACAACCCCCCCCCCCCACACGGTACCCCCTAAACGAACCTCTAATCTCCTCTAAAAGAGATAACTCAAACTGCATGGCAAATAACCCTCATCTTCACAATAGCCTACACGTGTCCATGCAATCTCTAGACTTTGGACAAATGGCTGAACCAATCAACCACGATCTCCCCTCCAAATTTGAACAAAATCTTACAAATACCACTCCATCAAGCAATATCCAAGATATGCATATAGACTCTACTATAATTACTAACTCTACTTCATTGGTGAATTCAAAAGCAGTGAAGGAAACTACACCTTTCCTCCATAATATAAACGACCAACCTCCCTCCAAAGATGCCAAGGATTCCAATCTCCCAAAGAAGAAGGTTTTGACTAGTCCAAATAGTGAGACATCAAA